CCCAGCCTGGCCCAGGGAGCTGGACCCACTGTATGTAGTGCCAAATGAAAAGTGACCTGCCCCCTCCCACCCTCGGGGAGGGGGGGGGGAACAGCAGGTTCCAGGAGGCGGACCTTGTCGAACAGATGCACTTTGGATGATTCTAAAATGGACTGAAAGAACATAAACGTAACCACCTCCACGTCTTCAGGGATTTTCATGCTTTGTTGCCCAGTCTGGAAGTGCTGCGTGTCTGGAATATATATATTTTTTCTTTATCAAAATTGGTCTGGGGGAGCCTCAGCAGCCACCGTGTGGACATGTATTACTGTGCAGCTGTTTTCATTGCATATTTAAACAATGGGGTGGAGCTAGGGGCCAGTGTGCTTGAAGATGGTTGCGACTAGGAGCCACCAAGAACTGTACGTTTTGACTTGAGTAACAAAACCAGGGCCAGCCCAGTTTTGGAGGACACCATGCTGGGCTTCTCCTAGGATGGAGGGAAATAGCACCTTTTAAATGGAAGCTGGAGGGTGTAGCAGACCTGGCTGTGCAGAGGACACAAGTGAGACCTACTATATGCTTGACATTCCTTAAGAGCCACAGCTGGCTTTGCGTTGAATCTGGAGGGCACATCCCAGAGCCTCCCTCTGCAGTATATATGTGTCCGCCAGCCATGGTCATTCTTTTTTTCTTATCCAGCAGCGTCCATCTAAACACACCTTCCAAGGTGCAATTGAAGCATATTTAATCCAGGGTGCACTTGCATCTCAGGCTCTCTGGCACACACAGAAAATGGGAATCTGACATCTTGGTTTTGCCATACTAAGCAATTATAGAATAGGAAAGAAATTCATCCAAGTAGCTTTTCCAGGATGCTGTAGAAGTATATTGTTGTTCTGCCTAGTTCCACCTGCACTTTTCTGGCCTAAGGAAAGTTTTTTTTAAAAAAAATGTTGAAAGAGGAGGCTTGTTCCAGACCTACTAGCCATTTCCCCAGGATGTCCATCACCATCATGCTGCTTACATTCATGGACTGTACAGTACAGAGCGTCAGCTGTGGATCTTTGTTCTTCTCTGGCAAATTGCTTACTCCAGCCTTGGTGCTTCAGATTGCAGTGGGATCAGGGACACAGGACCAGCATATTCACTGGCATCAATGGAAACGTTCCTCCTTGGATCACAAGTTACTTTCAAACTGCTTTGTTTGACAGCCACTTCTCCAAGCTCAGCTCACCATTCCAAGGAACTTGGCCCCATCAGAATGCTCCAAGAGGCAGCCTATAAGGTGTTGAGCACCACGGGTGTGGCCTGCTGAGCCATCAGTCCATGCTGCAATTATTTTCGTAGAAAATGACAAAAAGAAAAAAGTCCTGCCTCCCGCTCCTCCCAGCCAGTCAGCACGTGTCCCCCTGTTGCTACTGTGGCTGGAGCAGGAACGCTGCCTTGATGTCTCCCAAAAGCGCCTGGCTCTCATGCCAAGAGGTTGCTGCCTTTCTGCCTCAGAAGCCTTCATTTTTTTCTACACTCAGCCAAGCCTGATGCCTGCTCATAATGGGGATTTTCATGTTGGTCCTTTTGGAAAGTACTTTTTTTATAATGACGTTCACCGGGAAAGAGACTTTTCCGCTAAGGGAGAGTGGGACAAGGGGGGCAGCTTAGGGAGGGTGAAGGCACAGTTACTTTGACGTGTTTTTAGTTTTCTTTTTCATTTGACCACTGCTGAAGGATGTTCTAATCTAAATAGCCGAAAAGCCCTTGGGGGTCATGCTTTACAGCAACGTTAAATTTTGTTAGCTGGGTGCAGAATCTGATGCGCTTTATTGACTTAGCCAAGGTTTGCACAATAAGGGATTAATTGGTACTTGACTGTTGTCACGGCCTGGCTTGTCATAGAAAGGAGTTCTGGAAATGAGGCTTTTCTTTTCAACACCTCCAGTAATTTCGTCCATTACTGTTTAGCCTTTTGTGGCCTCTGTACTTGCCAATTCCAAAACCTTTCTTGGAATGTTTTGACACATAGAATGTGATTCTCTGAAATCTGTATAAGGTCAACGTGGGGCGGCAGTGGCATCTACCATGTTTAAGTAGATCTGCGTCAACTCATCACGGCCAACTCCCATGGCCAAATCGCCATGGGATAATTCGCTGCAGGACAAGAGTTACACGGATATCAAAGAAATGGTGGACTAGAATAATTAAAGAAAGGATGCCAAAGGAGGGGCAAAATGAAATGTGAATGACAAAAATTAAATTATTTTTAAAATTATTTTAAAAATTAAATTGAATTGTTAAGTTGTCCTGCAGTGCATTGTCCCTTCGTGAAATGGCCGTGGCAAGTTGGCTGTGGTGAATTGTCCCATTCCAGTAGGTCGTAGGGGATGAAGACTAGCCTCTTCAGCTTCTGATCTACTACTGTGTTATTTCCCTTGAGGATTCCTTCTGAACCATTGGACTTTAGCTAGTTAAGTGAAAGAAGACACAACCCACCCACCCCCACTGTCCAAAACAAAAGTCTGTACAGAAGAAGAGCCATCTGCCCAAGCTCCACCTGGAGCCTGTATTGCTGTTGTGTTCCACACCATTTTGGTCAATCCCTGCTGCTCATACTGAAGCAAACTGGAGGTACACATGGAAACAAAATTCAGCTAGGCAGGAGCCACTTTGGCTTCCTTATATATGGCTTGTTGCAGTTATTGCAGCAAGGAGGAGTATTTAAAACCCAGGCCCTGGAAGCATTTTCCGTCATGAATCATAGGTGAATGCAAAATGGTGAGTGATGCTTCCAAATGCAGGCAGTGGGACACACTTTTGGCTATCCCTGTATCTATAATAGCTTTCCTCAGACCTGTTTCAGATGTGTCTCAGCTACAAGTCCCATTGTCCAGAACCAGCATGATCCATTAGTCATGCAAATTAAGGTTTGTTGAATGTAGTCCAATATATCTGAGAGGTATTGACTGGGGAAGGCCAACTTGAAATGCAAAGGTATTAAGAGTTAAGCAGATCAGAAGAAAAAGTCACTAGGACAAGAGGCCTTTCAGATGTAACGAAGCTACAGTTCTAGGTACCCTGACCCAGATTATAAAAGCTGGAATTATTAGCTGTATTTGGGGGACTACGTCTTACTCCTGGACAAGGAGAAGCAAACCAAAAAGGCTCCCTTTCAAATTACCACTTGTTAAGGTAGAGACTAGTTTATTTCTGAATATCTTTATTTTGTTTTGGTATGCTAAACGAAGGTTGGAAGGAAAGATCAATGGCTACTATACGGTGTCTTCCATAAAGCCCCATTCCTTCATAAAGACATGGAAATTATATTCTTCTCCAAGCAACATTGCATTATATTTTATGTCAGGGCTCCATTAAGGCAGCTATCAAACAAATGAAGCCTTGGGAATTTTTCCTTATTGGAAACATCTTCACTTACCTACATTTTGGCTTCTCTGAAACCATTCAAAGTATTATTCCACCAGACAAAAGCACTGGTTACCTGCTCCATCATCCCAGTCCCAAGTACCTCTAAATGCTGAGTTTTTAGACTGTAAGTCAAATGCACAAACTAGCCTACAATAACTTCCTATGCAAAATCTTTCTTATATGGCAAATCCATTAATTGAAACAAACTTGAAAGCAGTGGTAGTAAAGGATTCAAACGAAGCTCTCTACAGCAGCAGTGACTTCCAGGGAAAAGTTTTCCACCTATTCCTGTGCCAGGTGGGACAGAATTGGAGGGAAAAGGTGTGCCACTCCATTCACGACCAAGGAAGTGTTAAACCTTAACTGTATTAAAGACTGAGAAACTGTCTTGTATGGGAAGCTTGATGTGAAGAGTTCAGCTTCTGCTTCATCACTGCAGCCAATTAATTTTTAGTGTCCTTCTGCTGTCTATAAAGAGCTAAGTAGCTGTTTTAACTGTGGAAAGGATGTATTTGACATGTCTGCTTTTTAATTTATTATTTTTTAAAGATGTATATGCATATATTTACAACTGAGCCCACCTTTCATTTCCTAGGCGATAAATTGCCACCGCCATTGTCCAGATCTAACATATGCCATTGTAGGTTCAAGGTTCTTGTCTTCTAATATGAATTCCCATTGATCCTATCCATTCTTTTCCTCTTCACTAGCTAGAACTTCAGCAGAACTCAGCTAAAGCCATGTACAGTTGTTTCCATAGTCTTGAGTAGCTGTGATGCATGCAGAAATTCAAGAAATAAATGCTTTCGTGTCACAGCCTCATCTACTGAATTGGAAATTGTAGTCTTTGAATTTCTGCTTGACAAGCAGCTGTTGAAATTGGTGGAATATTGCCAAGGAAGCAAACCTTACTTTTCCTTAAGAAGTCCAGTTTGGTGATAGGGAAAAGCATAGGAAGAGTTCTGATGATTTAATTTTTTTTGAAGGGACAAACTGTTTTCTTAATTCTTGATGGGTTACAGGCTTTTCCTTTGGTTTAGATATCTCAAGTGTATAGGGAGGGTTCTTAATGTAAATATAACAGAGATCACCCCTTTTCCTAAATAATAAAACCATAGCTCCGTGTAGGTGGCTCCATTTCAGTGCTTTGTCTATCTTTACCAGAAAATTGAGTAGGGAAAGGAAAGACCAAGAACCTGAATTGAACCGAAAGAGTTGAAACTATTAAGTTTCCTTGCTACTGGGCAGAGGCATTATGAAGGAGAATCTTAATTTCCTCTCTTCCAGGTATATAAACTACCCCCAATTCTTCTGATAATGATTTACCAATTATGAGAAACCCTTAATCTTTGAACATGAACCCTCTAATCAGTGAACATGATGGTTCACTGCAGGTTTTGTAATTCATTGTTTTTGTCTGCTGTGCTGAACAAGTGTACATGGTCTATCTATCAGGAGATAGATGATATATTAACAGTATCAAAATGGGACAAAAGTCAAGCTTTTTACTGAAAAGAAATTGCAGTATTGGTTCTCATCCCTGAATGAACACTGATCACCAAAAGGTAATAATAGAATTACTCAAGGAGTTGCTGCACAAGTCATTATGCAGATGTGTTTTTATTAGAAAGGCATATATTTTTTCAGAAATTAGAAAATTATCAATACAACATACATGGATATTATGGCAGAATTGATACTGCATTTTGTCACAGCATTTGCTCCTTCAATCTTGTGCATAAGGCATAAGGATTAACTTCACTGTTGCAACTCCTTAAGCTGCAAAGAATTCATCTTCCATCCCTTTGGATCTGCTGGAGGAAGAATTTCCATATATTTAGGAATCACTCCACAGTCTTTGAATAGAGTCCTGTCGCTATATTGTCTTGAAATCAAGAGTATTGTGGTGCTTAACACATTACCCCACTTCTGCAGAGATTGCATAAATAGTCTCAACTTCCTTCATTGAAAGCTTTATTATACAACAGGGAAGTACCATTTAATTTAGAATAGGAAGGAGCTGAATATTTTTTTTTAATCAAGGCATTTTTTTCTGGGTTAGATTGTTGCAAATTTGATTAAGTAGATGGATGATGAAAGCAGGCAGGTAGATCTGTTCCAAACTGGGATTCTAAGAATACCACTGCATCAGCTTAGAAGTATTGTTTCATCTTTATATAGGTCTAAAACTTAGATAGTATGAAACTGGCTCACAAGCACAGATGTTTTCAGTACTGTGTACTGCTTTTTCATCATCTAAGCCACAAATGCCCTAAGAATAATCAACAAGAGTATAAAATGAGTGTGATTTGTGTTTTGGGATAAATGTTTAGCAATTCTGTAATACAGTAAGTTAATTTCTTTTAAACCTCTATTTAGGTTTCTGTCTCGTAGGCAACTATTAATAGCACAGGAAATCTATGGATTAACAGCATTACCACTGACCATCCTCAGTTTAATATAAAGAGGAATAAGAATGAAAATATAAAGGGTTTGAGATGAGAGTTGTGTAGTCTTTCACATAATAAGAATCAAAAGCTTTCTTACCTTTGAATAAGTTTAAGCAACCTTCACATATAACTGAAAGTGTACGTTAGTGTTTACTATTATCAAAATGATCAACAGTGCATATATTATTCAGTATTACATAATTCTTCTTTACAGCGCAATGCTTTATAGTGGTTGGCATAACTTATAAAAGACTAAATATTCCACTAGGCTCCAGTAAGGCTGTTTTTATCTAATAAAGTTTTAAACTAAGCCAACCATCAGAAAGTCAGGAGAATCTCTGCTGCTGAGCTGAAGTTATCTCTTCCAGCAATGGCTCAGCAAAGCTTCATGGGCTGCAACACAGACTTCTAGCCCACACAAGTTTCATTTATAAATCTAAGGAATGTAATGATAGGACAAGGACTGGTAATACTTCCTTAACTCCAGGATCCTCAAACCACAAGCCCAGAGTGTGATAACAGAGGAGATGCACAGCACAAGCTTTGAAAGTTCTCTTGAAAGAAGAGATTCCAGAAGTTTCTATGAGACCAAAGCAGCTTTATCTTCAAAAGGAAGGCATCCTCCCAAGAGTATCAGTTCTTTCTGGCTTGTTCCCAAGATTATAGTAATGGCTGGTAGTATTATCTTAAAGGACAGATGGAGTAGATAGTTAGGACAAGTCTACAAACACTTGAAATCATTATGCCACTTGATTTGTGCAAGGTAGTCCTTGTGACCACAATTGAACCCAACATTTCTGTTTCCCAGACATTCGTTAAGTGAAACCCCCCCCCCGTTTTACAAGTTTTTCTGCCACAGTTGTTAAGTGAATCACTGAAGTTGTTAAGGAAGTGAGATGGTTGTTAAGTGAATCTACCTTCCTCCCCATTGACTTTGCTTGTCAGAAGATCGCAAAAGGAGACCACGTGGCCCCAGGGACATTGGAACCATCATAAATATGAGCCAGTTGACAAGCAGCTGAATTTTGATCATTGTGACTATGGGGATGCTGCAGTGACCATAAATGTGAAAAATGGTCATAATTCACTTTTACGCAGGCCGTTGTAACTTTGAATGGTCACTAAATGAACTATTGTAAGTCGAGGACTACCTGTGTTATACTTTTTACAAACACTTTAAAATCTATTCCATTGTTTAGAGCAGAGGTCTCCAAACTTGGCAACTTTAAGACTTGTGGACTTCAACTCCTAGAATTCTGGGAGTTGAAGTCCACAAGTCTTAAAGTTGCCAAGTTTGGGGACCTCTGGTTTAGAGCAATCAATAATGTACTTTTTAAAAAAATCTGAGGACTGGGATTTTGTTTTTGTAAAATCATTGGATCCACACACATTCAGTAACCAGATTATTCAATAGATGAGCACTGCAGATAATCTCCCACTAATACGTGGGTTGACTTTCTCCCTAAAGACTGTCTTAGAGGCCCACTGTTTTTCCATTGACACTGGTGAGGTAGGACACTTACATGGCTTCAAAACCCAGCGATCCATCCGCTCATTTTGAATCTGTCTTTGGCAGTCTCAGCCTGCTGTTCTGAAAAGTGCGCAGCGGGACTGGCTTCTGACATGCAGCTGTAGAGGGAGGTGGAGAGAGGGAAAAGAGAAGTAAATGGGTTTAATTCATTTATTTTATAATTCTATCATGGAGGAAACTTAAGCTCCTCAAAAGGTCAGGCAATTCTTGACTGGAAACTGAGCAGAGAAAACCAGATCGACCAGAACTCTAATCCCGTGATGATATTATATGGAAAATCCATTGTTTGAAATAGGCTTAACCTCCCTCTCTACATATTGAGCAGTTTTGTCAACAAAAATCTGGCAGCCCACTTAGATGCAGTATGGCAAGCCGAGTGCCACCAGGTGGGTGCATTGCTGAGAATTCTGGGAGCTGAACTCCAACACATCAGACAACATGCAGATTAGGGATGGAAAACACTATACAGTACAAAGCGTAACTGTAAAAGTGTCCAAGAAAGAAGTCAATCCTGTTTCTCCAGAAGATTTCTCTTACACAGACAGTGTTCTACTTATGAACAGGTTACGTTCAAGATTTATGATCAAGTCCATTTCATCCACAAGTCAAAACAAGGGCAGATATGCGGCATGCTGTAAATTATCTTCCAAATTCAAGGACCTTCTAGGTTGAAATTGCAAACAGGCTTTTTTTTTTTTTGTGGTATTTCAACATGATGAAGAACTGTAGCAATGAGGAATGACATAATGATTACACCTCATTGCTCCTATTATGGTATTTTGGTTTTACAGGTAGTCCTCGACTTACGACCCTAACCGAACCCAAAATTGTCATTGCTAAGCAAGACAGTTAAGTGAGTTTTGCCCCATTTTAGGACCCTTTTGTCACAGTTAAGTGAATTGCTGTAGATGTTAGATGAATCTGGCTTCCCCCAATGACTTTGTGTCAGGATTCCAGCAATCGCTTTAATTAAATCATGATTCTCGAGCCAAACTTCAAAAAACTTCAAAGGATTTATTAGTGGCGACATACTGGCACTGCCTTGTATGAAGCCAACTCTGGCATATGTAATTTATAGTCAACTGTTTCCTCCCTCCCCCGTGGGTATTTCATAAACCAGATTCCCCAATTGAGCACAATCATAGGCTGTGTGTCATCATTCACATTCTCCAATTAAATATATTCGTGGGCAAAACCTCTGGTATTTTAGTTACAATCTTTTAAAGATAAGTGTTGGAATGTACTTTGCTTCCAAACTGCTGCACTGCTCTTCCAGATTTCCTCCCCCACCCCTTTATGGCAACTACTAAAAAAGGCATAGTTTTATGAGTTGACAATTTGCTTGTCGGAAGCTACCTGGGAAGGTTATGAACGGTGATCATATAATCCCGGGACAGTGCAATTATAATAAATGCATTTCAGTTTGTCAAGTATCCAAAGTTTGACCACATGACCATGAAGATGCTGTAATGGTCATAAGTGTGAAAACCAGCCATAAGTCACTGTTTTCAGTGCTAACTTCTATCATTAAGTAAATGGGTGTAAATTGAGGACCACCTGTACTATCTAAACAAGAGCCAGGTGGGCTTATTTCATGTTATTTGTAGATTAAGAACTTGTTTCTCACCTAAGAAGGCAATCTGAGATCACACATGCCTACCATTTTAATAGATAAAATGGCACCTTATCCCAGTGTATAGTTTTTCTAACAATACATTTCAACAGAATTGCAAAACTCTTTAGCATATCCCTGTGTATTCACTCACCTTTCTTCCCAATCCCAGCAGTTGGTTTAGTGGATCGCTGCCCACCAGATGTTTCTGAACTCACTGGTTTAAATGGGCTGGATTTCCGAGGAACTGTGTATCTGCCTGAAACAGCAGCAGTACGATTGGTTTGCTTTGGCATTGGGAGTTGGCTTGCCAGTGCAGGCGTGACAGTGCGTCTTGCTTGAGTCTGACCAGAACCACCACAAGGCTTGGAAGAGGCTTGTTTTGGGGGGCCATTGCCTCCCATAGTTTTCACCTGACCTGGGATGAAAGCAAAAAACGATTTAATGGCAAATCAACAAAATGTTTCTAGTCATAGTGACTGGATTCTACCTAATTCTTTAAATGTAAACGGATGTGTAGGTTATAGGGCCGAGATACATTGTGTAAATGAATTTTCAAGAGAACTTTTATCTAAGTCCCTGTCCTACAGCCATTCAGCATTCACACAATAAGGCATGGAACAAGAAACAAAGGCAACTCATAGTGAAAGGGGAAAATGTGTGCGCTCTAAAGATTTGAATTAAGATTGATACCAGTTTGCTTACACCATTTCGCTTATCAGCTAGAGAATCAGACATTACTGATTAGTCAATAATACCGTGTTTCTCATATAATAAGGCCGGGTCTTTTTTTTTTTTTTTGAGCCCCGAAAAAAATGGCTAGGCCGTCTTTTCGGGGGTGACTTAATTCTCCCCCCTTGCATCTTTGGGCAGGTGGGCGGGCGGCGATGGCTTGGATGTTGACCTCAGCGATGGTGGGGCACTTCGTATCGGGGTCAACGCAGGCAGCACCATATCCGGGTGTGCAACAAAAGTACTTCCTAACGGCAAGCCCCCCATTTCCCCCCATTTCACATGTTTTAATATAGGCCTTAATTTGGGGGGAGGGGCTTAATTTCATTTCATGCCTATAAAACATTCTGGGACTTCCTATTGGGGGAGGCCATATTGTTGGAGAAACAGGGTACTCAAAACTTAAGATAACACTTAAGTTTTCAATCTAGCGAAGACCCAGACTGAACAGCTAAAAACAAAAACCATTTATAAACCAGTTTATCTCTTGCTGACATGTAGCAGATTGTGGGTTGTAGTCCACTTTAGGCACAAAGTCAGCTGAGTGACCTTGGGCCAATCACTCAATCCTAGGAAGCAGATAATGGCAAACCACTTGCCAAGATTTTCGTGAAACCTGACCAGGGGGAAAAGGCAAAATACAAGTAATGCATCCTAACTTACTTGCATTTGTCTTCTGGAGAGGTGCCCTCTTTTCTGGAGCAGCTGCAATTTTTTTCACAGGGCTGGTCTGCCGGAAACGCATCTGAGGATTTGGCTTTCTTTTCACTTGTGCAGCAAGCACCGTCCCTTGGTTAGAGGAAACCTGCAAATATACCCACCGCAAGATCCCAGAGGAAATTACATTTTATAGGATTGTGTTACGTTATCACAAAGATGGCTGGTGCGCCGTAAGATTCTGAAGCTTCTCTGTTGTGCATGAAAAACAAACCATAAGGTCCTATATGCACACATGCACACACACCCTTCCATGGATATATGAAAGTTAATTGTACAACTTACATGCATGCTTTTTGAGATGTTTATAGCCTTAGCTTGCATTGATACAAAGATAGGCTAGGCACCCTTTCAGCCTGGAGAACCATGCCAAAGTTAGTCACTATACATACCGCTTTTATGCAGTGGTGTACATTCTTAACTATCTGCCCAGTTCTCCCCCTCCCTCCCTCTCCCTCCCTCTGGCTCTGCTATTGGAAATACCTGTGGGCCTTGATCAGAACCGTTTTTAGCAGAAGCTTCTGTCTTCCTCTGCGTTTTCCTTATGCTGGTTTGAGGGAGAGGTTTCAAATGCAGCAATGGCTGCTGGCCTTTTGTGGTAGTGGGGAGGGCAAGTGGGCGGTCTGTCCTGTTGTTCCTGATAGTTGCCTGGAAGCGTAAGGCAGAAATAAAGCAGCTGCAGCTTTTGAACAGAGCTACTATTCTGTAGAAAATTAGCTAAAAGTTTTTACACAGACTTTCTACAGGAACAAAAAAAAAAAACCAAAACGTGGAGATACATATCCCATTTGAAGAAGTATGGTTCTCAAAGCAGATAACAAGTTTTTAAAAGGCAAAAAAAGTAAACATATGACTTAAGTTAAAAACAAACGGGCAGATTCCATATGAAGTGAACAAAGTTTTAAATGGTTGTCTAAACATGCTTATCAAAGCATATTTTTTTTTCCCCAAACAAGAACTTTCTTCTACGACTGTGTTGTAATGTACAAGGCTGATATAAAAAGACAGAAATATTTGGTGGCCAAGAGCTGTATTTCCCATCTAGAAGAGGGAAGCTAAGATGTACATGGGTGAAGCAATGATATGCTGTGGGCAAGGCCATATAATAGAGGCAGGTTTTGGATTCCTATCAAGTCCCCAAGGTGGTAGGCAGATACAGTAGTTGTTTTTTATTTGTTTGTTTAACACGTAGTATGCCTATTTTAGGACATACATTACACTTTCTGTTTATGTTCTGCCTTGAGATGGTGAAAATCTTAGCAAGTTATTTGATAAAATAAAAGTGACTACAAGAGCCACAAAATTAACTACTTGGGGAATGCAATTTAGCTACTCCTACTGTTAGCAATTTTCAATTCTTAACTTTGTTAACAAAATTCTTAACAAAAAATTTAAAGTTGACTGGCATAGATTCTGGGCAAAAACCTAAGGTTTTGAAAGAGTACAGTGGGCATCTCTGTCCCTCTCTCCTTTTACGATACATTTAGTGCAAAGTGAAACAACTATCTTTCTTAAATGTATATAACTCTCTCTCCAAAATCTAAGGATTTTGACTGTAATATAAAATTCTGTATTTCCAGAATCTATGATCATGACTGTATATACTACACTAGATTTTATACACAGAGATGCATTCTTGTTTAAGAGTAAGTACTAACTACTACTCTCTATGCATTTTGATCTGCTCCAGATGATGCTTCTAAAATAGTAGGGCTTTCTTGTGATTTCTGAAGCATAAGGCAACTGTGGGAAGTGAACAACTCAAAGCAGAGAACATAATGTATAATTTAGTGAAGCCACACTTGGAATATTGCATTTGGTCACCATATTAAAATACATAGAGACTCTGGAAAGAGTGCAGAGAAAAGCAACAAATATGATCAAGGGACTGGAAGCTAAACATGAAGAATGGTTATAGGAATTGGTTATATCTAGTTTAATGAAAAGAAGGACTAGGAATGACATAATAGCAGTGTTCCAATATCTAAGGGTCTGTTGCAAAGAAGAGGGCGTCAACCTATTCTCTAAAGCATCTGAAGGCAAAAGAAGAAGCTTGCTCTGGATGTTCCATCCATGTTTTTGGATGGAAATTAGTCAAGGAGAGAAGCAGCCTAAAAATGAGAAATTTCCTGACAGAACAATTAATCAGTGGAATGTCTCGCCTTTAGAAATTGTGGATGCTCCATCATTGGAGTTTTTTAAGGAAGAAATTGGACAACCATTTGTCTGAAATGGTACAGAGTGTCCTGGTTGAGCACGCGGGTGGATTAGATTAGAAGACCTCCAAGGTCCATTCTAACTCTGTTATTCTGTTATTCAGATATGAGAGGGTGCTGGGTAGAGAAAGAAGATATCAGGATGGGGATTTTTTTTTTCATAATACTGAATTTGCAAATTCAATTTTGCAAAATGGAAATGATTAAAAGTAAATTTTACAGGGCTAGTGAATAGATTGCCAGCAAAAGTACTTGGAGAATTGGTAAAGAAATGCTACATATTGTCATAATCCATGTAATGATCTATTGCATCAGCTTTGTTATATGGTAATAGGAAGATAATGCTAATAAGCACCATGCAGAGCTACTTAAAAGGATCTTTGTGTAACTACTGCAATATGGGGGGGAAAAGGATTCTGCAACTGTACCAATCTCCATTTAATATACTGAAAAAAGAAACAAATCCCATAGTTCTTTGGGTCTAGCAATCCAGAAATTTGGGGTGGGGATGGGGGAATTAATTATGCAGCAATTAGATTAAAAAAGCCATGTGTACAATATGTGGATGAAATGTCTACAAACATTTTCAGCTAGCGAACCTGACATTGCAATCTTTACAATTTTAAGAAGTCTAGAGGGGTCAATTGCTGAGGTTTTGCAAGCTGTAACTCAACAGAGTTGAAAGGCTGTTGGGAGAGGCTGACTTGAGTATAATAAGCACAAGTTTAGGAAGAAATCAGAATCAAAAGCAATGATTTCCTAAGCACAATCTTCACAATCTATATGCCTTATTAATGAGCTTCGGTCCTGCCACGGTACCTTTCTATTGCCAGATGTCATTGTCATCAAGGCCTTGGGTTCAGAGAGCTTAGCTTGGGGAACATCAGTGCTGCAAACGTAAGGTGTACTTTGGAATCTTCTGGGACTAAGCAAGTCCATCAGGCGGGAAGATGGACTTCTACCTTCAGAAAACAGAGATTTGGGGGAACCTTGAGCCAAGCAGGTAACTGGTTCTACTGTTGGGAGTAGAGCTTTCAGAGGACTGTTTGTCACATTGAAAGTCTTTCTCCGGGACTTCTGGGGATTCTTAGTCTCTGTACACAAGAACCTGATTGGGGTGAAAAGCTCGTGTTCTACAACTGTCTCAAGCTTTGTTTCAGAACTGATATTCTGCTTTTCCAGCAGCTGACATTTCTCAAGCTGCATAGCCAGCAGGTTAGCTTCTTTCATGACCTCCTCCAGCTTCATTGGAGTCAGGGGACTCCACTGTGGAATTGGCTCTTTGGTCCTTCCATCATTCTCCTCCAACAAGATGTTTAGATCAACTTCTTGTGCCACATTCTTGTCATTGAGTTCGAGGGGACAAGTTATAGACTCTTCCTCTTCTTGTCCATAACAGCAATCACTGCTGAGAGAGAAGAAAATGAAACACATTTACACCTTCAAGGAAACAGCCATGTAACTCAAAATAAAGTTTCATATTTTTATTATTGTAGACTTGTTATGAGAGCCATGTAAATATTGTAAAGAAAGAATATAAGAAGGTTGCGTAAGAAAGTAGCTCCCACCCGGCTGGATTTCAAAGTATTTGGCTTTTGTACAAAACAAGAATAAAGTTTATCAGTATTAGCATTTTCAACTGTTTTTATTTAAAAATACATTGGAAATATATTAGGGATTAGATACGGTACATAATCTTTTAATTTAAGGATCAGACAACAACTTAGAATCATTTTTGTATTTTTTCACTTTTCTCCCAAGTAATTTATTTGATCCACTAAGATCTTCATTTGTGCATACTTGAGCAAAATCTTTGCACTGGGCTTTACATTTTTACTCTCCAGTGGAGTTTAGTAGCTTCAGTGACCCTGACAGCAAGATCATAAACTTCAGGAGGGTCTCCTTGCTGATAAGATCAGAAGGATGAGGAATAAAGAATGATTCCGTAGGAATGAAGGCAAGCAGAGCTTGTTATTTAGGGAAGAGACTCCAAAATGAATGCCAGAAGATGGCTATAACTTCTTTATTGTTGCCAAGGAAGTTCCATACGCATGACTGTAACATTTAGTTAAAATTGATTCTAGATTATGAAACCATCAGATTAGAAGGCATTTCTGTTGCAATTGAGGGGGAAAAAACCTGATTTGCCTTAATATGACTGGAGTAGACAACATGGCTTTATCAATGCTATAGAATGCCTGATCGCTGACAATGGTACTCTCAAAAGAAGAATTTCTCATTTTATAAGGTCAGACTAAGTTGGAACATGGAATGTAAAGAACAATGATCCAAAGGAAACCTGACATTTTCAAAGTAGAAGTGAAATGTACTATACTGTATGTTTTAGGAATAATTCAACTTAGTAAATGCACTAAGTGAATCAGAATTGGTCCCTTTAATTATAATATATTAAGGACATGAGGCCATACAAAGGAATTAAGCATCACTAATACTTTAAAAAGATATAGTGTGCTTACCTATAACACAATAAATGACAAGGTAATATATTTCAGAATTCGGAGGGCACATAGCAAATATCAATGTCAACAAAAGTATACATCAATTATAGCCACATTGATGGAAGCCATTGACAAATTTTATGGCAAATTACAAATTTGAAGTGCAAAATTGGAAGAAATGGAGAAAACTGAATTACACGAAGATTTAGACTAAGTAAATGCAACAATGCAGGAGATGTTAATAGAGTTTTATGAAGAAACATTTGTCTTCACTGCCAACATTTGCATCAAGCAATGTAAAGGCAGATCACATCTGGACATCATGGAATGGACAACATCCGAATCAAATGTTTCATAATAAAATGGAGAAATACTCTAATATATCTAAGAAAATGGAGATATACTCTAATATATCTAATTCACCAGAACATTTTCAGGTACAGTTTGTAGAAGCCACTGATTTGACCTAGAGAATATACAGTCAGAATGTAAGACAATTGAGGACCAAATTTAATATATTTAATTTAGTAAAAAAAAAAGATCTCATAAAAAAATAAAAAGTGAAAAATATTAAGATGACAAACATAATATCAACCACAATTACTGAATTCACAGGTAGGATCAAAGAAACTAAGGAACTGGATAGTTTTGCCATCTTGGACTCAAGAACTGACAGGCATGGAGGTTATTTCACATGAGTTAATTCTAGCAATGAAAACAATGACAAATTTAGACAAGCTGTGAAGATTAAGAATATTTTCTATGACAAGAGTTAAGACAATCCCTTCCCCAAGTGATAACATACAAATATGGAAGCTAGATATTTTAATAGATCAAGAGAAAGAATTTAGATAGAGTAGTGCCACCTACTCCAAAAAAAACACAACTGTCATTTGGTCCCAGACAAAGTAAAGACTCCTTTAAAATTCTGATCACCAAGTAGAAATTCATACATTACATAGACAAACTTTGAATATGTAATGCAAGTGGATGATGAACTAGAAAGAAATATTGTGCATGGCAAGACTGATGGAAATAGAAGAATGGAAAGGTAATGGAAAAAATGAATGAGCAGGATCAAGGAAATTATTGGAATATCCTTAGAAGAACTATCAGTTGATCCTGCTCAAGATAGAAGGGAGGGACTGGGCTAGAGTTCATGGCCCCTAAAGTAACTAATTTCACTTTTAATTTAAAAAAAACCCCACTGTTAGTGGTTATGAAGGTACTTGCTTATCAACTTCACATACTTGCTATTTACTCATGAGTTAGCTTATATGAATTGTCAGTAATGATCTATCAGTCTTACCCATCCAAAGCAGAAAATAGTTCAAAATCAAGTGTCTCATCAGTAATAAATTTTATATCTGAAAAATAAGAAATCATAATAATTAGAAGTATTAATTTGGATATTTAACCTTTACCATCATCACAAATATTACCTAGGCATCTTAACAGTTCTAAGCAAGAAGAATGAGAAAGCTATATTCCCAGAAAAAGCTACTTAAAGCCCTTATAAACTCCATGGAAACAAAAGATGTTAATTCTTGTGCCCCAAATCACATGGAAAATAAATGGTGAAACAGAAAATGAAAGTCATCTGTCTATTCATTATTCTGCTACTAATAATTTTAATATGTTCTGAGAATTATGCATATCATGGGGGAACCTGACCTAGACAATTATGAATAGGCATATTTACACCAAATGAAATCTACCTGAATAAATAAACTTATAATTCTTCATAATATTGTACAGAAAGCCTCACACCAAGTATTACACAGTGTTAAAAAGTTTCTACACCATCCTGAAATGGGATTTTTACAAAGAAGACTGATGTTATAAAGTTTTAGCAACAAGTTGTAATGTTTCCAATCCAAATGACCTTGGATATGGTGTGGAATAATTTCATGCATATATTTAAATGCACAGACACTGACTTTCTGTACTCACCCTTTGATGATTCCATGCTTTCTAACAATCATCTCGGGATACTACTAAATAACTGAAGTGGGAAGATAATAGTTAAATACATCTTGAATGTTAAGAAAGACGTGTTCTGCTATTTTTACATATTAGAAAAATAACAACTAGATCAGAACATAGAAAGCTGTTATCTTCACATTACTGGCATTGATGTTCCAGGTTTTCAGGCAAACATATTTTATTTTAAAGTTTAATCCAGGTTTGATCATATAAAACCATCTTGTTTACTAATTTAATAGCAACTTTAAATCTGACATCTACTATTTTTATTTTAAAAATTTGTAATCCACAAAATAATGTATGTGTGTTAGTTATACAGTAGTTTTTATTGATAACATTATATTCTGCATTCTATAAAATTGGGATTTGGAAAAAGTCTACTTAACAAATCCTATAGAAATTAACAGGAGATTGAAAAAGACTGCTTGATGAAATATGGTAAAAAAAAGACTTTGGATGTGAAAAAAAAATACATAGAAAAGAGTGCTTCAAGAAATTAGAATTTCAAAATACCATATAATCTGTATATAAAGAAAAACATAATGACTAGGGATGTGATCAAAGAGAGCAGGAACCAGTTCAGATTGCCAAATACAAAAAGATTTGAATGAAACAGTTTTGGAATTGGATATGAAATGCTCTGGGATGAAACTGAAGGGAAGGAATACTGAAAGGTATGTTTTAGAGATCTGTATGGGCATGACTGAGATACATGAAACAAATGTGGTAAATGTTAATAGTCCAGAAAAAAATAGACAAAAATAAATACTATGAGAATGTTGAAAAATGTAAGGTTGCAGCTGTAGAAAAGTTAAACTATGAATGTGGTTTGCTTATGTGCTACTTGTTCATTTGTACACAAAAGACCTGCATCTATGCCTATCTTTGAAAGAATGAAAGTGAAAGGTAGTAAGAGTGAATGCATAACTATAGGGAGTTTAGTTTATCAAGTATGCCTGGGAAAGTGTTTGGCAGAATTCTCATTGAAAGGATAAAAGTTATGTCAGGATGCAGACTCTTGAGAAGTGCAGGGCAGCTTTACACAAGGCAGAGATTGCACAGATTAGATCTTACTTTTCAGCAATTCACTGACAAATGTATGTGTGATAAAGATGTAGATTGTAGATATTGTGGATTTGTTAATATATGTAAGCACACAATAAAGCAAATTACCTGGAACTGTGGATCATTTTTTGTGAATGTGAAATTGAAAGATGGTTGCTGAATGAGATAAGAGTGACATATGGAAATAAAATGTGCATGAGAATGAACAGAATGTTTAGCAAATTGTTCCCTAATGATTAAGGAATAAGTTTCTTTTGGTTATTTAATATATTTGAATATATGTATAAGTAACGCTTGTGGCAATATTAGAGGCAGATTGATTATGAATAGAAATAGCTGTGTATTTTTGTATGTAGCTCCTGTGTGTTATTGACTGAAAACACCTATGTTTTTCAGCAAACATTAAATGAATTATACAAAATATACTGGAGTGATTTTATAATATAATGAAGACTGAATTACAGAGAAAATATATGCAGTAAGGGAAAACCAAGTGGGTTAATTGGAAGAGAAGACCAAGAGGTTGGATGGAATAGATGGAATCCTCAAAGAGGGGAGAAATTTAAGAACAAAAAGCACTGTATGGGCATGGGGAAAGCAAGAAAACTTTGCAGGGATAGAAAAGTATGGAGAATAAAATGATGTTGATATAAACTAATTTAGGTACAATATCTTTTATTTTCCCTTGTTTTTTTGCTTACTAGTTCTTACTCTGTGCTTTGAATGGGTATTTATGGATGGAATAATGTGGTTACATTAAATCTGGTAGAAACTTCCTGCTCTTAAAATGGTTACAAATTGCATTACATTATTAACACAATATCTAACAAATGCAGGCAGAAAGTGGGACCCAAGAACTTAAATCAAAAGACTTGGGAATGCTGTGCTTACAATGTTGCAACTTCTCAGGCAATCCAAATGAAACTTATGCAGCTTTTCTCCTCAATTTAGGGATAAGAATCAACGTGGTTTTTTTTTTACTCTGATTGTTCAAAAGGACTCTGAAAATAACGACGATGAGCACAATGCCACCTCGGAGTAGCTTTTGTAGCACCAGGATTGAACTCAATAGAACCAGTGAGCTTCCAAACAGCATAGTCCTGGCCATAGTTTGTTTATTTCAGACAAGAATGAAGCCATCTATATCCACGTCCGTTTGACTTGTTATGCTTTTTTGTGTATCCCAAGATTGGGAGTGAAGTCCTTTGAATCTGACTGTCCTCAGACTATAGTAACTAAATTGCAGTCATTTTGAGCAATATGCATATGCTTCTTAGAAAAAAACGAAGCTCTCCTTTACCTTACCCGTTAAAAAGAAAACGGTTTACAAGAATCTAGGGCAGCCCTAGCGGGGAGAAAGGCAGGCAGGACGCAGTTTTACTTTGCTTGAAGGAAAATCTCACGCTGCTCCGGGAGGAGAGGGTTTGATTCCCTGATATGTTCAGCATTGCAAGTTTTAGCTCCTGAATAAAGGAGCTAAAGGCGGGTGTTTAATTTGCAAACAAGAGCAAGGTGCAAATCGAGTCTCCAATGTTTTACACGCTCTCGTCTCGTTCCTTAACCTCACCTAAAATCCTACGAAGTGCAGCTTCATTTTTGCCCCTTTGGTGCGAAAAAAATCCCTCCGTGCAACATGCAACCCATCCCCGCCTCCAGCGTTACCATCTCCCTCGCGGTCTCACCACAATGCTCCTCCGATGCTACAGCCAGCCAAAAAAAAAAAAAACCCAAGGCGAAAGCAAATTCGAATTTGCCCCTTTTGACTTCGTCACAATAGAGTTCTGCATTCCTTTATAGCGATTGGCCCGAGGCACGCGGACTCCCTTCAGCAACGCCCCCTTTTCTGCTTTCTCTTGCGAGGGGACGACTTAGTCGGTGGTACCGGAAGTGTGGCGCGAGAATTTGATTCCCCCAGCGGCAGACGAGGGAAGCATGGCTGCGGTGCCTCCGGACACTTGGCAGCCGCCGACTGTTTCAATGGAAACCACGTAGGTGTGAGAAAGAGTTGGGTAGCGCGATAGAGGGAAGGTTCCAGGTGTGGTCTTAGCACCAAATAAAGAAAAGCTTGCGGAAAACTCCTGCAGGGAACCATTGCAGCCGGATAGACCGATTCCGGTTAAGTTTCCTAAAAGCTGTTTTTGGAAAGAGTTGAGAGGTGCTGATATCCCAGTGTTTCTGACTGAGGAGTTCTGGGAATTGAGGTCCACATATCTTAAAATATAAATTTTGCCCCCGACGATCTGTCCCCAATGTGATCTTTCAGGGCTTCCAAAGGTGCACTCATCACCACTGTAATTGAGTCCATCCTTCTTACCGCTGGTTATCCTACTGTTTACTTGCTACTTTCCCCATTATTACAACCAATGAGTTAAGTCTTCGCATAATATGTCCGAGTAGGATAATGAGCGCTCTGAGTAAGAATTCTGGGTCATCGTTTGTTTTCTTGGCTATCCATGGGATTCTCAGGACTCTTCCCCAACACCAAAGTTCGAAAGCATCAGAAGCATTACTATTCTGCTGCTTCAAATGTGAAATGTGAAGGTCTCGTATTATATCACGTTGTGCCTTTTCATCTTAATGTTTTATTAAATAGCATGAGAATTCTATTTTTGCAGCATGGGGCTCATGATTTTGGAGCTATACTGGAAGCATGCACCCAAAACTTGCAAAAATTTTGCTGAGCTCTCCAGACGGGGCTATTACAATGGCACAAAGTTTCATAGGATAATCAAAGATTTCATGATCCAGGGAGGTGATCCAACAGGAACTGGTAAGAACACATTTAAAATACATTTATTAGATATGTTAATAAATGCTGATAAAATCTAATGTATAATATCAATGTGATATTTCGATGGCCACCGTTTGTCCATTTCAGCTTTTCCCCAAATTCCTCCAGTCTCATTAAATCTAGGTATCCTAGAAACACAAATTTGCAGGAAGCACTTTCTACGTTGGCTTTCCAAATTAATTTAGTCTTATTATGATGATAGGAAGAGGAGGAGCATCTATCTATGGCAAGCAGTTTGAAGATGAACTCCACCCAGAACTGAAGTTTACAGGTAGGTAATCGTTTTAAAAGGATTTATATGCACTAGAACCGTGATGGCAAACCAATGGCATCCGTACCAGAGATGGCATACACAGCCTTCTTTGTGGGCATGTGAGCTGTCTCCCCAGCTCGGCTCTGCCGCGCATGTGCGCACGCACCTCCTGCCGGCTAGCTGTTCTTCAGGTCTCTGCCATGCATGCGCGGGGGTGGGGTGCATGTGTGGGTACGCACGTGCACATGTGGGGGCAGGGCACATGCACGAGGGATGTACACACATGCAGGGCATGCATGCACATGCATGGGGCTGTGTGCGTGCATGCACAGGTGGGACGCAGGGGACACATGCATATTGCATTTGGAGGATGTACATGTTCTTTGGGCACTCGGTGCCAAAAAGGTTAGCCATCAATAAATGCTTCGTATCTGAAGTCAAATCAGTTGGGTAAAGGCACATCTGACGTTATTATCTCCCCAATTAGTTACTGATGGCCAAATTTTTAGTGATTGTGCTAAAAATCAATAGGTTTTTGTTATAATTTCTCCTAAAATTGTTTATTTTTTTAAAGATGCTTTTATTTTGCTTGCCTTGAACTAACTCTGGATAGCTTGCAAAATAAAAAATACAGTAAAAAATAAATATTAAAATATTACAAATAGATACAGATACAGATAATGGATAGAGCTAATAGATACAGATAATGCACAAGTCCAGCAACCTACCCCAAGGCCTGGGAAAATAGTCAGATTTTCAAAACCTTTCAGAATGCCTTTCTTGAGATCTCATTCCAAAGGATAGACATCACTAAGAGAAGTTACATTTCCTAGAATCTTGATAGATGACACTGTTTAATCTGTTGAATTATAGAGGGAAGAACTTTCATCCCTTTAAGCATCATTCAGTATTGTGAAAAACTTACTCCCAATGTTTCATGGATCACCTGAACTGATAAATTATTTTCATCTTTTAAATCTAAGTTTAGGGGATGACACCAGACCTTATTTAGCTAGAGAGATACCCTAAAAGTGGTGGGAATGACACATTGCTCATTCCAGTAAGTGTTGCGAAAGGTATTTAGTATTAGAAGGGCTTGTAGATGCCAGTTATTAGTCAGTAGAGATGAGTAAGAAGTGGGAAGTGTACTTCAGATCCAGAATAGGCATATGTGTTATACCTTTCAGCATCTTAATGAAATTGTGCCTTTTCCTGGTCACATACAATAGCTCACAGAAAGATATCCACTTAAGTGCTAATGTCTCTCTAACATCTCCTGAGCTTAAATCCGTATTTTAATAGTTGGTATAAGTGTAAAAGACATCTGAAATCCACGAGCAGTCGTATAATCTCAATACAAAACTTGTATTGATTTGACTGAATTTTGATACCAGTGAAGAAGTAATGTGCCATAAAGATCCAGCAGGGTGCTACCATCTGTTTTGTTTGCATATTTGATACAGGTAACTTAGAAATTATAAACTAGTAATATTTTTTTCCTCCTTAAGGTGCAGGAATCCTTGCTATGGCAAACGCGGGTCCAGATACAAATGGAAGCCAGTTCTTTATTACACTAGCACCAACCCAGTGGCTTGACGGCAAGCACACTATCTTTGGTCGTGTTTGCCAGGGAATTGGGATAGTCAACAGAGTGGGAATGGTGGAAACAAATGCTCAAGATCGTCCAGTGGATGATGTAAAGCTTTTGAAAGTTTTTCCATCTGGCTAGGCTGAAATCATAAAATTGTTACATGCAGACTCTTCTCTCCCCCCCCCCCCCAAAAAAAAAAACAACAACCCCTGCTGTGTGTCAAGAGATACCTGCCAGCTTCTTGCAAAGTAATCTCTACTAAAATTACCTTCCGGATTCATCGTTAACCTTTTTATTAAAGCTAAATAATCAGCAGGTTCCTGAACTATTTGTGATGGATAAATGCCATCAAGGTGTGATAACTGTTATTCATAGCATAATTTTGTCTTCCATTTATGCTTCATTTGGAATGTAGCAAATCATATGCATAAATAAACAAAATTTTAAATAATCAGGCAACATGTAGTATTTTGCAAGTACTCATAAATACCTGTTAACCCAGTGCAGTGTTCACATGACTCTGGAAATAAGATTAGAATGTTCCAAGTAGAACTAGGAAGTTGATTTGTTATCATTTGTTTATTATGTAATTATATAAAATATCATTAATAAAATATAAAATTACTGACAGTAATTTCACTCTTGGTCTCATTTTTATCCCTCAAAGTCAAGGACACGAAAACTTATGATATTTGAGTAAATAAATACCTTGTTTTTACCATGATTAATAGTTCAGTGCTGCAAATAAATACGTATTTGTACATATTTATTCTGTGTTTATCTCCATAATATTGTTCATCTGTATTTCTTTCAATTCATACCTATAGATTTTCATAGTCTTAACACCTAAAAAAATACATATTAGTACCTCAGTACAAATTTGTACTTTGGTACAAAACAAATAATAGGAATATGAAAAATGCAGAGAAAACAGTGCCTATTTTTGACAGTGATTGATTTAACACACCCTAAAACTCAGTTTATTGGTGACTTGGCAAGTTACACATTTGTTTATTACTTTTTAAGTCCAGCTAAGTATAGTTTATTCATTCAATCTCTAATGGCACTTTTTAGTGTATGAAGTTAGCCAGTCATTTGTAATGCATTGGTTTGCATGAACATTTGATCTTTATATAGACTTATCTCTGCTTTCATACATTTATGACAGAAAAGACCTTTGTAGTCTCCAAGATTTCATTGGATAGATGGAATATTATGCTCATGGCAGACACGTATATACAAATTCAACTCTAAATTGAATGGTCATGAATTAAGAAAATGTAAGTAAAGTTAAAATGCAGGATGTATACCTTGATGATAATGGTTGTTCGAAAAGTAAGCGTTCGCATGAAATGAACATTTTTGGACTGGAAACACATCTGGAAAACAAACCCTTTGCTCTTTTCCTGTTTCGTATTGTACATATGTTGACACTGCACCATCTTAGTTAGACTAAAGGGGGCAGTCCTATTCCACAAGTTTTCTAAGCTGACTAGTGAAATAATTGAAGAAGTTACTAATAGCCATAAGGTGGAGATAGAGCCACCTTACAGAAATATGGCACTGAAAGACAAAATTTCAAGTAATGGAATCATTCTTGAATTATTCAAGATTGAAACAGTTAAATGGTGAAATGAGGCTTGGTATTTTTAAAAGCATACGCAAGATTTCCATGTTATACTCTATTTTTTTAAAAAAAAAAACTGCTAAGCAAAGTGTCACATAATGAAATGCCTTTCAAATATATTCATAGTATATAGATTTCATCTAATGTTGGCTTGGATTACTTACTTGCATAAACATATTTTATCAATTTTCTAAAATATTCAATAGTTTTTCAACAAATTTTGAGAGATGAAAGTCCCAGTAGGATTTAGCAGAGATGCATCCAAGTAAACACAATTCTCACTCAATTTAAGCAATTATGCTATCATGTAAAAGTCTTGCTAGTATAGCACATATACATTGATTAAATTTAATGCCTTAATTTTGCCACCATCACAATCTAATTGGAAAAACTCTTGGCTTTGATAATGAGATGTAGGCATGCATAATCTGGGAATTATTTTATTTGGAAATGTGTGTTTTATTTTTCTCTTAGCCTTGCATTCTTCTCGTGGTTACATTTTTTTTGCGATGATTAATAGGCAAGGCTAAAAACAAAAGTTCCAGCGGCTGCATTAATATCTTCTAATGATTAATCTGTAGTGGTTTGTGAAAAGGAAGACAAACTCACCTGAAAACATCTTGTGTTGATTATGGAAAAAGCTGCTGCCTAGTAACCGAGGGGGCATCGGTCTCAGATTTTTAATATAAAAGATGTGATGTGATTTAAGAATGCTTAGAGAACCTCTATACTGCATCAGACTTCTAGTTCGTTCGGACAAACACTTCTCTGCAATGTCAGATATCATTTGTCCAACAGTTTCCAAGCACAACAAGACAGACTCCCTTTTTTTAATCCATTGCTATACAACTGGTAGGAGAATGCATTCTGTCCAGTTTCTCTTGCTCATTTTTCATCTCGGCTTGCAAGAGATGAGAAGGGGCCCTGCTTTAGATTAAGGGAAAATACATGAAACCATGTATATAACCTGTGTGATTCTCAAGAACTGGAATCTTCCGAATGGTTACTGGGCTGAGATTAAACAGATAGCAAGCAAGAGATCTAAACAAAGAGTCAAACTGCAGAATGGAAAATCTGAGAAGCTAGGGGATGGGCTGAGCAAGGCCATCGTGTTGTTGGACTGGGTTTTTTTTCTTCTGGTTTAAAATCTAAAGCATATTTTCACAAAATATTGCATTGCATTTCTTGCAAATAAAACTTTTTTAACCATTGCATTGTGTGGAACATACTTGTAAATAATTATCCCTAAAATTATGCTTCCCTTGTTTTCTAAATCTGTGAGCTCTTAAATGTTTGATGTCATCCTTTGCCCTGGGGAAGAAAACATGTTTCAGAAGCAATTATGTATTTATTTTCATGAATACATCTTAGTCCTAAAATCGCCGTGTCCTGGTTTTATCACACAGACTGCAATTAATAGAAGAAAGAAATTCAAAACTCTTGTCTCCTCCCAACATCTGCACTGATACTGTTATTCATTTTCTACTGCTTACTTATATAATTAATGCATTCAAGTATGGCTCTTGATAGAGAAACTGTTAGTGTGTATGTGTGTATCTCATACATATGTATTCCTCACAAAATAAGCAGCTTTTTAGAGCAGAATCCAATTTAAACAATAAAAATACTCTGTACCATAATCGGAGATGTTTTCCTTCTACCATCTGTGAACCACCTCTTAGGAGTCTGTATCCAAAACAAGATAAACATGGCCTAGAGATGGGGATCTCCAAACTTGGCAACATTAAGGCTTGCGGATTTCCAACTCCCAGAATTCCTGAGCCAGCCCCACTGATGCTCTATGAGCAGGTGGCTTAACAGTTTCCCACTTTTCTAGTCTGGTGCCTAGTTCCCTCAACCATTCATGATATGGTTTAGCCTCCAGACACCTTATCTGTGTTGTTCTTGCACATTGTGGGGTCTCAGCATTATTATTATTATTATTTAGGTATTGTAACCAGCACTGTATGCAATATTCCAAGGGTGGCCTCGCTAGTGCAGTATAAAATGGTAGTATCATTTTTCATGTTCTTGGTGCTGTTCCACTGTTGATACAGCCTAGGACTGCATTGGCTTTTTTTTTTTGCCAGCACATTGATGGCTCAGACTTAAGTGGTGGCCTACTTGGTTTGGTAATTAGTGCCAGCTTAAGTTCCATAGAAGTGGTGGTGCAATGGTTAGAGTGCAGTACTGCAAGCTATTTCTGCTGACTGCAGGTTGCCTGCAATTTGGCAGTTCAAATCTCATCAGGCTCAAGGTTGACTCAGCCTTCCATCCTTTCGAGGTGGGTAAAATGAGGTCCCAGATTGTTGGGCACAATATGCTGACTGTAAACCACTGAGAAGGGCTGGTGCTATTGCTTTTGCTATTAATCAATACTGAGTAAGAAATAAGGTAAAAAACACACCTAGATAGGCAAAACTAATCAATGAGAATATTAAATTTCCACACCGAATAAAGAATGTAGATAGCTCCTTAGTTCAGATACGTCCTTGTCCACCTTGGCATGTGTGAACTTGTGCAGTTCACAGGGCACTTTAAGATGTGTGGATTTCAACGTCAAGAATTCTGGCATACTAGTTGGGGAATTCTGGGAGTTGAAGTTCACACATTATAAATTTGTTGAGAAAGTTGAGAAACATTGCCATAGAGCATCCAATAAGGAATATGAAAAGGACAGATGTTTTCCTCATCAGCACACATCTATATCTTCATCTAGGGTCTGATGCATTGGGAAAGTGAAGCCTCAAGTAACTACTGAAGAGCTTCTAGTAGCTGATCTAATTCTGAGATAGGATTCCTCTACCTTGGAACCCAGATTTGGTGCTATTCATTCTGAGGAGCAGACCTCTTAGAAACAAACTTCTGGGAGAATTGTCTAAGAGCTATCTACCTGCAGTCCTTCAACAGACAGAAACTCTCATTAACCAAGAAAGATCAATACTTACTGGAAAAGGATACAATTGGAAAAGCCTATTATTGCAAGCCAGATCATCCTGTCCTATTACATTCTGTCAATTGTTCCAGATTGATACTCCTGCATCTGCACTATTTTCAGGATTGCTTTCATTTCTTACCTGTCGCTTCTGTACTGATTACATCTTTGCATTTTGCTTCATTCTCATCCTGCTTTAGTTCGACAATTATGTTGTACATCCCTGCATAAACTGACATGTAAAGTGGATTGGGAAATCCCTGATGAACCAAGAAAATGTACTATAAAAAAACCAGCTGCCAAATAGGCAGTCTTGATTCAATATGTTATCATACTAATTCAAAGCTAAGGAATGTTAAGAAAGTGAAGTTCAGCCTGAACTTTAACTTGTTGATTTGATTAGAGAGATCAGGAAGACAAAGAAATGGTACAATATATAACAAAACAACAGCCAGATTAGAGGCACAATTCAGTGTTTAAAAAATAGCCCAATTCAACTGGACTGAACCAGAAAATAATGAGATTTGGGAAACTGAAAGGCTTTTTTGGAAGTGGTGATTGTGATTTCTGTTTTCTTTAATTATTAGTACACAAAGCCCAGCAAAGGCTGTAATATTTAAGACAGATATAAAATATTCAGGCATAGGAGCCCGCCCTAAGGCAGGGAAACTGGAAAGTTTTTAATGAACTGTTTTCTGGCATTGATGATGCCTTAGCAGTTTTCCCAAACCTGCAAAAGCATCATCTGGAACTGCCTGTTTTGGCCAACAATTTCTGTCTTTCTCCTTTAGACTCATACAGTTCACAAGGCACTTTTTACAAAATGGCTACCTGTGCAGATTTTATGTACTGAAAATTATTTGCTATCCTTGAATGTGCTCCTTCCTCCCCAAGATAGAATTTGTGTAATGGTTACAATAGGAATGGGAATGGTGGTATTTTTTAAAAATCCCCAGTCAGTACTGTATTTCCATTTCTAATGTTCCAACTTTCAAATCCGTCTTTAAGAAATACTGTTTTTACATCTCAGATTCTGCGCTTAAAGTGCAACGTAATGGGCTGTAGTATCTTTAACTCAGTCATTGGTTCCCTCAGTGCACAAAGTACATGATTCTGGCTTAAAGGAAGCAAATGATTACCAAATATTAGATTCATGATTGGAAAGCAGTCATATTAAGTACATTTATTTT